CTTTAAATAATGTCTAGAGGACCTTCACTGAATGTTGTAACATAGAATTATGAATCTATGAAATAATAATACACTTAATAAGAGCATTATATAATCTGGATAGTATAAAATTATATCCCTGATGAGGCTTCAGAAGCTGTTCTGACAGGTTTTTAAGGACATCAAAATATTATTTTTACAACTTGTACTGGGGTATAAACTTCAATAATATATATAAGCTATATTGAATAATTGCAAAAGATGTTTTCATGCTAAAGTTCTGGGCTAATTACCTTGTTTTAACTGGTCTTAAGTGTTTCTAGCTTTTTAAAGATAAAGCCTAAGGAAAAATGTAATTCCCCTGATGGGAATTGAAATTATAAGACCGAATTCATGTTTTGGAATTCATGTTTTGGAATTTTTTTAAAAGAGAAAAAAAATATTTGCTGAAACCTGCAGTGAAAATATATATTATAAAAGGATTAATCATACAGCAGAAAAAGTAATAAAGGGTTAGGTGTCAACCCAATTATCTAAAGATGCCTTAATTACGACTCCGAACTGAGCGTTGGAAAGAATAGAAACATCCCTAATATGTGAAAGATTTAGATGTATATTTGATTGAGCTTTCTAAACTAAGTATATAACTGCTGAAAAGCTATTTGTCATCACGGACCTTAACAGGACTACAGATATTGCCCTTTCCTTATTTCTTAATTTTCTTTCACTATAATTCAAGGGTAATTCATTAGCATCCAAACTGCTACCTCATAATTCATTCCCGTCTAAAAAATCAGAACATTTAAAAGGATAAATAGGTACAGCTTCATGATTTATGTCTGCTCTAAACTATAGCACTGTAGTTAAAATGAACTTTTTGAATTTTTATCCATGTGTTCTTTGATAAACCAGTAGAAGAATTCATTTAAAGGGATTAATAGTTTCTCAGTTTGTTTTTTATCTGGTCTTTGAATGGGTTGATATAAGATGTTAATTACATAAATGCTTTGTTGTTAATCATTCAGTAGTAGCTCTGGCTGTGCTTTAAGGTTTAGCTAAAACATCAGTCTTTCGTGACACCAAGTAAGTTTCCTTCAGTTTCCTTTAGCTTTATTCATCTTCTGGGCAGCTACCCTGTTCCTGCTAAAGAAAGCATCCCTGCAGCACAATGCTAAAACCATCAAACTGACACTTTCTCTCTCCATCACTGCAATGACAAAGAATTCAGGGCAATATTCAGTTTTCCTCTCCAGATATTATTTTTATACAAAGTCAGCAAAAAAATGTTTTATCTCACCAGTGGACCCTCTTCCACATGTTTGCTTTCACCCCCTACTGTATTTGCCTCGTGGAAAACTGAAAACAACACCAACCAGTAAATTATAAAGGGAGTTTTTGCTGAGTGGGTACAGGTCTGAGCAAGACCTTTGATATATAAAATTAGGATATACAAAATCTCGCCATGATAAATGAAAATAACTATTATATAAATTACTATCAGCTAATTCTTTGTCATTGCTCCATTAAGGCCAGATTTCTAATAGTTTTCGTGTGGACAGATCATCCCAGCTGAGCTGTGGATATCATGAGCTAATACCAATTCACCATTTTACTGTATGCTAGATTTGACAGAGATTTTTTTCAAAGCTCGGAATATTATTTTATAACCTAACTCTTAAACTTCTCCTCAAATTTATGCTTGACCTTTCTGTTGAGTTTATGGGCCTTGAAGATGCTGTTTGTTCCCTAATGTTTTCTAACAAGCCTCTGAGACCCCAGCAGCTCAGCTTTATTTAGTTTGAGATTCAATTATGCACCAATGTTTAGTAATTAGGCAACATCTGAAGGTAGTTGATTCCACTATTTTTCATTCAGGAGTCCCAGAAGTATGAACATATGAGTGGGAGTCTGAATAAAAATGAACTCTTCTATTTGTAAAAGAATTTCTATAAATCAAAATATAATATTTCTTCCCCTTCACAATGTGTTGCAGCTTTTTATTAGTCTATTTCATAAAATCAAAATAAAATACATAATTTATGGAAATAATAGGACAAAATGTTACAAGTGGGCTTTTCAAGGGCCCTGTACTCATTATCAAAACCAGTTTAACTCAGGTAAAGGCTAAAGCTGCTGAATTAGAAAGAACATCTCAAATAAAGAGAGGTAGGAGCTCTTTTAATACGATTACATTCCCAGAACCTCTAGGGCCATGTTTATTCTGACTGTCCTGCAGATGTCTTTTAAATAGTTTTTCATAGATGAAGCTCGAGACATCCCTTAAAGGTCATAGCTTTCCATCGAAACAATAACTTTTCAAAAATAATAAATCCACAGAACACTAAGAGTGGTGCAGAATAAAAGTGTAATTTTACAGAAAGAAATATTATTGCTTTATAAATGTTGATGGATCCAAAATAAATAGATATGTACTGTTGGTTAAGAGGCCACAGTCGACACGAGATGACCTTTTCTTGGGTCCACATTTCTCAGACTTAAACAAAAAAAGCAAAGAGAGGGTGAATATTGGTAGAGCCTTTGAGTGCAGGTGGTGTCGACGAAAGATGTTGCTCTTCATATGAACTGATAGGTTCCATATTAGGTTAATGCTAACCAAAAGGTTGGCTTTAGCATTATTATATCTATCAAAAGGTTAGCATACATTACAGAAAAAGAGCCTGCAAGCTACGGTGCACCATTAACTGCCCAGAAGGAGCTAAACTTTATCTATCATTTTTAAAATTGAAGGGGTTGTAACATTTTAGGAGTTTGTTACCATGTAAAGCTGGAAGTGTAGAAAATACAAACATTAGTTAGTTTACCTAATATAAGGGAATAAAGGAATAGAATAGAATACCAAATCCCTTGATTGTTCCACAATGGGGAAATCCTGGTATTTACTGCAGCAAAGATATTCTAGAAAAAATTGTCCAAAGGTCCATTTTTGTGTTAAAAGACAAACAATAAAATACTGTACTGTAAAGACAATATACAACAAAACAATTTAAAAACATTGCACCTGGAGAATAAATAACGAATATACAGCTATGGACATTTATACAGTAATGGATATTTGAAAATAGTAGCAACATCAGAGATGTGCGAAATGACAGCAGCATGTTATTTAACTGAGACAAAACTGCAAAATCTGCATGAATCTAGCAACTTATTTAGGTTGTTGGGATCAGTGGTGGTTATAGAGTCTTACAGCTGCTGGGAGGAACGATCTGTGACAATGCTCCCTGGTGCATTTAGGATACAACAGTCTGTCACTGAAGGAGCTCTCCAGTTCTGCAACAGCTTCATGCATGGGGTGGGAGACATTAGCCAACAGAGATGTTAATTTAGTTAGGATCCTTTTGTTTCCCACCTCCTGCACTGAGCCCTGAGGGAATCCAATCACAGAGCTGGCCTTCCTGATCAGCTCATCCAGCTGCTTTCTCTCAGCTACAGTAAGGTAAGCCAGTAGGATGCATTTACAGGAGAACCTGCAGGCGGTATCAGTGCAGAGTGCAGGAAGCCCATTAATGATTAACAATAATAATTAAACTTTATTGATCTCACATTGGAGATATCTATCTCTGCATTTAACCCATCTCCTTGGGTAGCAGTGGTCTGCCATGGTGGGGCGCCTGGGGATCAATCGGGCGTTAAGGGTCTTGTTTAGAGACACAGAGTGGCAGTTTGTGGGAGTGGGTTAGACTTGTTTACTATAGATCAGTGGTCCCCAACCACCGGGCCGCGGACCGGTACCGGTCCGTGAGTCATTTGGTACCGGGCCACACAGAAAAAAGTATACCGTATATATATATAATTTATCGACGATCAGAGTCTGAGTGATGTTTTATTTTGAAAAATATAAAAAATTGGGGTATTCTCTCCCAATTACATCAGTCGGTGCATCTGTGCCTCTTGGCACAGGTTATTTCAGGTCAAGACTCATCCTATCTATAACATCCTATCTTTGTGAAGCGGGATTTTCTGCAGTTACAGCGACCAAAACAAAGCTACGGAGCAGACAGGACATCAGGAGCACAATTCGTCTGTCATTTTCTCCTATTACGCCTAGATGGGACCTGTTGTTGTGTTATTTTTATGCTGTTTGTATTTGATTTTATGCCAGTCATAACATTTTACTTGATCGAAATCCCCCCTCCCCCCCGGCCGGCCAGTCCTTGAAAATATTGTCTGACATACAGTATAGCGGTCCGCAGTGCAAAAAAGGTTGGGGGCCGCTGCTATAGATGATTAAGATTTGCAAAAAGAATTTGCTGTAGAAAGATGTGATGAACCATTAAATGGCCATTATTAGCAGTTATCAGTCCCATAGAATGGCTTCAGACTCCTCCTCTAGTAGGTTTCCAAGGGCTGATCATCTACAGCTCATCGCTGGTAACAGTCACAGTTTATTTACAAAATGACCTTCTTTATATGTTTTATCTACTCCGTTTACAACACAACTATTTTTTTTCAAGATTTTTATTTTTTTTATAAATTCCACATGTTTCATTCATAGGGATTGAATGTGGTGCTTAAAAACAGCTCAGTTGGAAGCATTACATTTTTTGTTTTTGGTTTGTTTAATATGAGTGACAGGTCGATCTTTTTTTTGTAAAATTAGGTCCATATTACACATAACAGATAAATTTCGTAGGCATAAAAGGAATGGCCTTAGGGTTAGGAATAGGGTCGGGATTAATCCAGTGTTAACTACCTGCTAAGTCTACTGGGAGGTAGGAGGCACAATCTGAAGCCATTGGACTGATAACCGCTAATAACGGCCATTTATTTGGATGATAACATCCAAAGTGGCGTCAGAAAATAGAAATATAAGAGATCCATTTTTATAGCAACAAAATAAGCACTCACTGAAAACCACATAATACTTTTTTCTTTTCGACTTTATGCTAGAGGAGGGGTGTTAGTTGAGATGAGATCATAAAATTCACAAGGGAAAAAGCTAGACACATAAAATGAACTGACTGAGGCATGTAGCCATGTGTTTTTTTTAATTAACCTACCTTTTCCCAGGTATGGGGGCCTTTCTCTGACAAATAACAGCAATGGCTCCGTCTGCTCCCATGTCCAGTGTTATGTCCCACAGTAAAGGGTTGCTGGGTGTTGCTGTTCGAAAGGTCACACCTTTCTTTACTGAAGCTCTGCAAAAAGCCACGAATAAAAAGGTCAAGAATGTGCTGAAATATATATATATAAATACACACCTTGTTTCCCAGTGTGCTTCATACCAAAGAGTTTTACAGGGGATCATAATAGAGTTTTTTTTTTCAAGACACAAACAGGAATTTGTAGTAAAAAAAATTTGAAGACAAAAAAAAAAAACAAATACAGTACTGTGTTGCTGCTCATATCCAGCTCCGCTGCCAGTTTCTCCACCTTCATGTCTGTTCAATGGTTGTGTGCTCTCATGATTTAAAATGCACAGATGGATGGGGAGTTTTCTTGGCTCACTTATTTATAAATTGTGTACATTATGAGGCAGAAAAGAGCATCCCTGAGGGTTTTCCCCAGCGTAAGCGGCTTTTAGTGGGTCAAATGTTAATGAGATGCTGTTCTGTAAGAACTGCGAGGGCCTGGAGAGGCATGTGATTTAAAAACAAAAATTAAAAAACAAACCATTCTGGAGACAATGAAGCCGTTTATATGTTAGGAATCTTCATTTGTGTTTTTCAAATCTCTGGTGAGGCTTGCTCACAAACATAAACAAGTTCTCTTAATCAGTTTAGAAAAAAAATAATTCTTTGGTTTTCATTCGCATGTAAAGCTGTGTGGTTTATCTCCCAATCTTCAAGATAAACACAAGTGTTGAGCGCATTATGAGTCTCTGAGGAAGCGTAATCTGTGATAAGAGCAGCAGAGGCAGCAATCTGAACACTCCTCTTGCTCCTGACTTTGGTTTTAAATTTCATCCAAAAGGAAAGAAATTGATGGCCTCAGTTGAGCCCTGCAAAACAACAGGACAATGCATGCTTTATCTCCTGATATATAACAATACTAAACTACTAGTTTGCATATTTTGAACACATGTTCTAGGGCTCAGGTTAATTTGCATATCAACCAAAATGGGAATTCATTTGACCATCTATTGTGGTGTTTAACCCACTGTTGCAATAGCTGGAGTTTAAGATAATGAAGGTTTTATTCTCTCCGTGAATCAATTCGACAGTTTGAAATTTAAGAAGAGGATGAGCTTAAAAGGTAATGGTTACAATTAGAAAGAAATTAATAACCTATGAGTGTTGGTGTAAGCTTGTGTAATGGCCCTAGAGGATGCCTGTTCCTGTCCCACCTGCTCGCTGCAGAAGCTCATTAGTCTGATTAATAAGAGTTCACAAAGGGAGGACAAGGCTAACAGGGGAAATCCTCAAGTGTGAAAAAAGAAAAAAAAAGTTAATGCCTCTGCTTAAAAGTCAAAGGACAATTTAATTGCCATTACACGGTAAATTAAAAATATCATTATGGCCAACTCATACTGAGTAGATCTTTCCTTTTGCCAAAGCAAACTCCTACTAATTAGTATAAAAACAGATTAGAGATGTTTAAGAGTTTAAGTTTGAAAACTCTTAAGACTCATAAGAGTTGTTATTTGAAAACAAATAGGTCAGATGTGTGGAAATAATCAGTCGTATCATTTCAAAGAAATCTGTTCAAATTGTTTGGATGAATTATTTACTTTTCTCAGGGAATTTTACTTCATTACAGCAGCAACTGTACTAATTTCCCTTCTACTTGTAAAAGGGGGATATTTATGGGCAAGAATTAAAATGTTAAAAATGGAGCCGAGGCGGAAGTTCAACTGAAGAAACTGATTTGCTGTGTCGCAGGTGGATGTAGGAGAGCAATCAGCTTTGAACCACATCCCCACGAAAGCCAATCGGCATCCAAAGTTCGTCTTAAAAGGCCTCAGATCCACAACTTGTCTGCTCCTGTGCGCAGGCGGCGGATGCGCTGTGTGACTTCATTCAGATGACCCTGTTTCAACCCACCTCTAGCTCCTCCTCCACCATCAAAGCTAAAGCTTCATCAGTGTTTCATTCCTCCTGGACTCTTACTGCATTCATTTAAACTGGTCCAGCAGAAGACCGCCATGTTGAGCCTGGTTCTACCATAGGGGTTTTTCCTCTCCCCTGTTGCTTCATGCTTGCTCATCATGGACAGGTTCTCTCAACCAGTGTTGTCCAAGCTGGACTTCCATCTTCCAGGTCCCTGAGTGAAGCTCTAGTATCAGCTCACGCAGTCCACTGGATCTCTCCATAAAGCTCAGCAGACCGTCTCACTAACCAGCAGTCTACAGAATGACCAACTTCATCTATCTACACTCCACCACCAGTTTCAGGCCTGGGGGGGAAACATCCCTGTTCTTTACTTCTTTTAATGCAGTTCTATTCAAATTAAGCGCTATGTTTCCTGCCGAGGTCTGAGCGCCAAAGACAAAGTAATTGTATAAATACATTTCTTCTAATTGTCTTTTCTCTTCGTGTGAGTTTTTCATATTAAAATATTATCCAAGCTGATTAAAGTCTACTTTCAAAAATTACATTATAAAATTGAAAGAGTTGTTTTGTTGATTGTTTTTTTTGCTTAAGATTTCTATGCCATGCATCAGTTTCAAGGGTGTGTTTGGAGGTGAAAAAGAAAACAAAACACACAAAAAATCCAGAGGAGTTCAAAATGTTCAAACCCCCTTAAGCTTCAGAGCCCAGATCTGTCACAGCAGAGTAAAACAGCTAAGAGGCCCGTCTTTGATGGCTTTTTATTTGCTTTAAACCAACTCTTATTCCTGCAAATTCTATCAGCAGAAAGGATAGTCTGCTTGTTGCTCCAATATCAGTTCCAGTTTTGACAGAAGGAAGTTTACGAGAAACCAGGGTAGTTTTAGGAGCCATTTTTAGGCCAATCCAGCATTGGACATCAAGGTATCTTTGTCCACATACTGTATACTTAGAAGATAATTGCCACTGTACCCTGTAGCTTCAGCCCTGCACATGTAACATTCATGATGTAGTGATTTTTAATAAAATCAAGTGCTCTCTCAGAGCGGACTACTGTTTTGTTAATTTATAGATGATTATTTTGAAGCATTTTTCAGAAATTCTAAACCAGAAACTCTTTAAAAAATCTCAAGCGGTTGAACAAAAACTTTTTTTTTTTATTTGGAGTAAATTCCATGGCATGTATAGAAAATAAGAAGGTGCAAGACTAACCTAAACATCCATCTAGGAAATCTTCAGCACAATTGAAGTAAAGCTATTTTAAGACATAAATTTGATCTGCAGCTTCTCTGAACGCCACTTTTGTTTTTGTTATTTTACAAAAGAGAAAATGGCCAATGGATGAAAAAGTGTGGATTAAAACCTCATAGTAGTTTCTGACGTTTGTTTAGCTAATAGTTTCATGTTTGGCTTAAGGTCAGTTCAACCTTTCACATTTTATTCCTGCTGTTTACTCTCATTTTGCTCCTTTTCACTAAGAGATTGTGAAGAGAAAAAAAACTCAAGTAAAAAATGTTTCAGTCTCTGCAATGTTAAAATTTGATTGTGTTTTTTTTTTTCAGAAAAAAAAAAAACATTTAATACATCCACACACCTATGAGGAATGTCCCGATCCAATATTAATATAAATCAGACAAAAATCCTATATCAGAATATATCGGCCATGTAAAATCTCCAGATATGCAAGCTGAAAGAAATACTCCACTTCTATCCAACTCTGTTTAAAGTTTTTGTAACTCCTTGGTTAATAATACACAGGTCAGTTATTATCATGCTTGTTGTTTTTTACAAGTGTTCCTAGTTTGATTAATAACACTCAATCAAACCTTTTCTAGCATCTCACAATATAAAATAAGCAGTTAAAGAATGTATGTTTGAGATTGTTATCAAGACATTCTGTATCTATAGAAATCCCTAATTTCTATTTTAATTTGGTTCTTATTTAGGGACAGTTATTGTTTATCAATATAACCATGATCCCGTTAGTTTAACGCATCTAATGGTTTTGTTGGATTTGTTTTATTGTGTCAAACTTAACTATAAATAGATTTTGGAAACTTACTTTACATGATGAGTTTTTATTGTTTGCACTTATGTAGCTATGTAGATAGCAGATACATATTGGCACATAATCATTGAAAAGCATAATGTAGTAAATCTTAAAACCAATTCGATTCAGTGTCACTTTCATTTCAGGTGAAGCCTTTTTGCATGTTTTTCCCACATATTTTGCCACTCCAAATACACAAATAAAAAACTCATAATTCCTTAATCACAATCAAATTGGAACTGAAAATAAATCCCCAGAAGGAAGCCATTCCCAGATTCTCTCTGGTTAGTAGCAAACCCTGTTTCTGTGTGCATTAAAGTGACTGACAGAGCAAAACCGAAGGAGGTAATTGTTATCAGTCTGAACGTTCCCAGGAGGCTAGAGTGGCAACAACAGAGGAGGAAAACACACAATGTGGTTAAATGAGCAAAGGAGAATAGATGAGGTTTCAGTAAAAGGACCTACAAGCTCCTGATCTGGTTTCCGTTTAGCCGATATCGAGAAGATGGAAGGTGGCTGCACCCTTATTGTTCACCCTAATGGTAATGCAGAGTCAGCAGTGTCCACTTAAAACCAGTATTGGAAATAACAGTGGCATGTTGATAGCTTGTTTATAACTTGTTTGTTTAAAGAAATCTTTAGTTTCCTTAATTTATGCATAAAGCATATTGCTAAATTATCTCAACCTGTTGAACTTTTCCACATTTTCTTATCTTGGGTTAACAAACTTCAGTTTATAGTATTGTGATTTTTAAAGTAAAATGACACATTTTGCTTCCAAATATTTTCACAAGTCTTAAACCTCTGAAATTATGCTTGTTTTAGCCCCAAAGAGCTAATAATTTTTCGGAACCACCTTTTTTCTGTAGTTGGCGACCTGTCCAGGATGTACCCTGCCTCTCGCCCATTGACTGATGGAAATAGGCACCAGCACCCCTCGTGACCCCACTCGGGACAAGCGTGTCAGATAATGGATGGATGGGTGCTGAATAGACATGCACAGCTTGCCTTTTAGATTCTGCTTTCTTTTTTTTCTGACTATGGCTGCATATTGATGCAGTTTAGCACTGTTGCCTTGCAGGGAAAAGGTCCAAATCCT